AAGCATCAAATGTATACTCATACTATAGCTTTAGGATATCTAAAATCTATAATTCATGTACCTGAACCATCATGGACAGAAAATACGTATAAACCCAAACATAAACTTAGGATGTACAAATCTAGCCTCAACAGAGATTCCTTGAGACAATAAAACTGTTTGGCTGAGTTGTGAGAAAATAAAACACCTCCAGCAATTTTCACCCCTGAGCACCAATAGTCTGGATCATCTGAACTCATCACACGCACTAGATGATAAAGTGAGAAGACAGGACATGATTGCCTCCAAGTTATCGTAGTTCAATGAGCTGTGAGGCTATGCAGAGTTTACTGTGGACTTTTCCATGGCTTGATTTATTCCCAAAACACTAGGTACTCAAACAGCCATAGGATGGGTAATTGCTTGTGCAGTTACAGCTTTATGCATGATAATACCCGAATGGATGACAGCAAAGATTTACAGCGGGGCTGTAGCATTTCCTGTAATGTTTAAAAAAGTACAGAGGGTGATATGAAACCAGATGGCTTCAGCAAAAATATTCTTTGGACCAATCTGATAAAAATAAGGATGTTGGGTCATAACACAGAGTAACTTCTTTGATAAAAACAGATAGGGCTTATCATTCCAAACTGATTCCACTAATCAACCATGGCAGAGGATATGTGGTTTGCAGTAACATGTACTTTATAGTCGCTTAACTGACCATGAGCTGTTTACTTAAGGAGCTAATGGGAACTCAAACGTTTATGACTAAAAAAATTAATAACAGTGTAGAATCTGTTTAAGTTGTTTTACTCTCAGGATTGAATTTAACTCATTTTAGAAGCCAGTAAAGAAATATCAGTTTTGTTACTTTGTAATAGTTAAAGCCCTGACATTCAAACAAGATGTACTACAGTATCTTTTTTCCTTGGCTGTATGTAGAAAATGCAGTCACCACCTCAAAATAGCAGGACAGTGCTTTAGTTTTAAATTTTAACCTTTCTCTTAGGTCATTTGCATGCATTTTAGAAATATAATTGATAAGGCACAAAGGATCAGTGTACATGCCTATCTGAAGCAACAGCACTTCCTGGCACTATAATTAAAACATCAAATGCTGGGAAAAAAAGGGTTTTGAAAGAAAGTTGCTCATGATGCAGTGTCACAGTGCTCTGGAAGGGATGCGCATTCCACCAAAGGTGGTCCTGCGATGGTATGTATTCAAGAATGCACAATACTATGAATGAAGATATTTTTTATGGGTTATTAATCCAAAATCTAGGCAGTTTTATTTGTTTTATAATAAATTAAAAAAGGTTAAATAGGTATGTTACCCAAATGTTTATGCATTCCCACTTATTGTTTTGCTCTTTTGATTTTTCTGACTTTAATTAGTCCTGCAATTTTCAACCGATTTCGACAATTTTGGTATCAAAATGTTCAGCTTGTTCAGGAGAATTATGCTATATCTTTTGGTATAGATATTTTTTATTAGTTTTTGCAATATTGAGCTTTTTCTGTGTTTTTTTGTCCCATTGAAATGCATGTAGAATTCTTAGATTTCAGCAAAATTCAGCTAAAATTTCATCATCTTTGACCTTTAACTACTTCAGCATACTTTCAGCTAGAAACACCACTTGACTTTTAAAATGTTCTCCAAACATTAAACTATTTCTGTTTAAGTAAGCTTTTAGATATCTTTTACAGTGTTTTGTAAAATTGTGATTCAAATTATATTTTAAAAAAATTCAGGTTTTCAATTTTTTAATGCAAGTCTAAGGGTGGAATTCTTCAACTGTTAGAGTGAGTGCTCTAGCTTTTGAGCTTTTCTGGTTTTTCCAGAGAAATTCTTTTCACTCCCTCATTTACTACTCAATTTAAATAAATTATACATCACAACATAGGAATTTTTGTCAAGATTCAGGAAATGTAACCCTCATTTGTGTGGGATTTACAGTTTTCCTGCAGTTTGGCCCAGAGCACGAAGAAGTCCACACTCCCCCAATAGAAATCCAATGAGAGAGTTTCCAAAATCACAGATGAAAATCCAAAACAACAAGTGTTTTTGTATCGCTGCCATTTGTTAACTCTGTTTAATTTGAAACTTGGTATAAAACATCTCCAGACCCTTCTAGTACTGACATGGATGGATG